GATTTGCATATCTGTGCGCCTCCCAGACGTCGCCGGGGAGGTCAGAGTTTAAGGTCAACCACTGTGAATCTCAAGGACGTTTTCGGACGTTCTCTGTGACCTTCATCCAAAGCGTGCGTCTGCGCGGCGCAAACCCGTCGCCCGCTGCGCCGCCGCCGCCGCCGCTAACCATAACGTTGGCAGATGCACCTCCAGTGTCGCTGTCTCCGTCTGATTGCAGCTGTAAGAGTCTAATGAAGCGTCTCCTCATCCATCCAGCCCTCGCTCTGCGTCTCCTCTTCACACTCCCCCCGCCTCCTTCCTTCTCTTACACAAGTGGGTGACAGATGTGATCCACTCTGGAGAGACACCGAGCGCTCTGCTGCCAGCCGCCGCCGCCGCCGCCGCTCTCACAGGCTCTGTGTGTTTCTTTATGCGCAAACTGCGAGGCGTCACGTCGCGCCGTCGTCGTCCGTCCGTCTGTGTTTGTCTTCGTTTAGCTGCACGTCGTCGTCGTCGCGAGCCTTTAATCTCAGCGCTGCGTGGTCGCGGATCGGGTTTCATCTCGGATGCAGATGCACCTTTAAACACGCATACAGTTAATACAGCGGACGCGTATTTCTGCAGCGTGGACGGCCTGTCGCACTCGCACACACACATTTCCGCTGGCTTCACGTGTAATGTAATCACCTGGGCGCTGCATGCCTCCTAACCCAATAAAGCTGACAGCCTCCAACACACACACACACACACACACACACACACACACACATCCTCCTGAGCGCCTGTAATACATTCAACCCTCCTTTCATTGCTTCCCCTCTTCCCATTTTTCTCCCTTGTCTTTGCCTCCACCAGCCAACCGACGTGTTAACCCCCGAAAACCTGAGCTGGAGGAGGCGTGTTGGCTTTGGAAAAACTGCATTATTTATTAGAGCCAAAAACTGAAAAAAAAAAAAAAAAGCTTCTGCAGGTGCTCGAAATATAACGTTGGGAAAATTCACTAAAAAAAACAAACATTTGCACCAGATTCTGTAAAAAAAAAAAAAAAATCTACGCTCCTCAGCACAACAAAAATTAATCGAATGTTCGGCTGAACTGCAGGCTGTGTTCACACAAGTATGGAAGATAATTTAAGAATAAAACAGACTTGATCAATAACGTAAATGCAGCTCGGTTTAAAACAGAGGTGTTGGACGATATGGTCAGCATGGTGAAACGTCTGTGTCGGAAATAATATCGTAATAGTAAAATATCTACGGCATGGGTTTTTTTTTGTTATTTAAATTTTGTAAAATAAATAACGGAAAACAGAATCGTCACCTTTTGATGGCCCTTAAACTAATTATGTGTGACGTACGAAGAGACAAAATGTCGTGAAAAATAATAAATCTATATGTCTTGTTTATAAAAAATAATAATAAAAAATAAACCATTTAAAATAGTCCGATTCTGTAAAAAACAAAAAATTCTGTGCTCCATGCCGCAACCAGAGAGCTATTAGTGGCTCAGCTGAGACCGACAATCATGTCACAAAAATTCAGGGACTTTTCAGCTGAACTGCAGGCTGTGTTTACGTACAGCAAATAGGATAACATGCAAATAGTAAAATATCTATAATATGTGGAGTCAACGTGTTTCTTCCAGTATTAGTGACACCTGTTGTGCACGTTCATTTCAGGTTTTTCCCATTTTTTTTAACGATTTATGGCATTTAAACTGTGTCATCCTGCATAAAAGACACGTTTGAGTTCTCTCTGCTCCTGTTCTGTTTCCACTGAGGTCCAGGACCGTGTGTCGCAGTGAAAAATGAGCCCACAAATGTGACAAAAAGGAGGAATTAAAGCCCTGAAACTGTTCTGGGTTGAGAGAGTTAACTTACAGTACACAGTTCTTGCTGTAGTTAGCAGCTCGGCTTCGAGCCTCTTTAGCTCTCTGACCCATTTCTGCTGAGCGGCGCGGAGTTTGGGGACCGACTGGAGCCGGTCCGAGGTGCCAGGACCAGAAAACAGACCCGCGGTCGCTCTTTGTTAGATTATTGAAACGCACCGAGGACCGGCGGAGGGAAGGCTGGGCTGCTGGAGGAGGGAGGAAGGCGAGGTCGGGGATGGCGGAGATGTTCGTGTGCACCGTTTGTGTGATGTGTTCGGGTGTGCTCGGCGTTGCGGAGGGCGACCAGGCGTGGCGGCCATAACCGCCATCTGCTCCTCGCCGCAGCAACTGTTGCCAGGGTACCTGCTCTCCTCTCCTCCCCTCCATCCCACCTTTTTCCACTCCTCCTCTTTTGGCTCATCACCTCCTCGCCTTCCTCCTGATTTTTCACCCAAAAAAAAAAAAAGAAAAAAGCAGCTTTGCTCTCCTCCGCTGAGTCCTCCCGCTCTTTTCTCTTCCCTCCAATTAGTTTAATTTGCTTTTTCATTCTGAAGAGGATACCTGCTTTCTATTCAATGAGCTTTATTGGCGTGACATTCAATTCTTTGTATATTAGCGACGCTTCAGCGAAGTGCTAATACTGATACCGGCTCAGTTGCTCCTTTTTTTTTCTGCCTGTGTTTGACTGTACTCGGGAGTCATCGTGTCTTCCGCACCACCTCCACCAGAATCTTTAATTCTCTGAGACTTCTCCTCTCCTCTTTCCTTCCTCATCCATCTTTCTCCCCTTCTTTTGCAATTGTGTGGACATGACTCAGAGCGCCCTGTCTACAGAGAGGGAGAGAGAGAACCAAAGAAAGAGTGGAGAAAGGAGTTTGATGGGGGGAAGAAAAGAGGTAGAGTGAGTGGGGGAGAGATCGTAGATCAGAACCGTCATGATTGAGCCATCTGCTGAGAGGAGGCCGGCGAGAGTCACACACATACACACACCTGAGCGAGGCCTGAAGACCACCACTGCCACCCGTTGGCCGAGCGCCGGCACTGCACCGGCGTGCTCCTCGCCGCTCTGCTGCCATCCCAGCAGAAACATGCCAACCGGAGATGAGACACGTAGCTCTGAGCATCGATCAGTCTGGTCTGGCTGTCTGGTGAGCCAGTCTTAAGCAGCCGATTCTGTTTGCTCCGCGGGGTTTTGTGTTTTTTTTTTGTGCTCTAATATATGAGGTTTATTTCCACCTAACTCCTTTCTAAGAAGAGCCGAGCCTCAATGCGGATTATGAGGCTTTGGCTCTTTCAAAACATATTGAGCATAGTGCCGTGTTACAGACTCCAGCCAGCGCTATGACTCGCTACTGTAATCCTGCTTTCGCTGTTTCATTCCTGCCCTGCAGTTAAATGTGATTTGTTGTGCGCTGTCTGCTCTCCGTGCGGCTGTGGGTGGCTGCGTGTTGTTGCATTTTCATACGTACAAACACTCCTGAATCATTCCTTCCTCTCCTCCCCGGGTCTTTCCCTTCCTGTGCTGCTGGCAGGCCTAAACGACGTCCACTCTCGTTCAGCTGTCTAACCTTTAATAGATCCATAAACGCTCCCCTCCCATTGGCCAGAGCAGGCCATTTCATCCTATTAGAGATTAGCATACGGCTGAGTGGAGGAGAAAGTGCTCTTTATATGCTAATGAGGAGTTAATGTATGCAGCGAGGACAAACCAGTGCCCCGTTGGGAGGACTCAGGGTGGCCCGACGTGCTGAATCTTGAGGCGGTCCTGTCTTTATCTTGTTTTTCGCTCTCAGACGGCTGGACTGTGTCTTTGTGAGCTGAAATGCATCATGATGCTCGACTGCGGCGTGTAAAACTGTTGCGCTGAATAGATCCTGATGCGGTCGAGCTGCATTCGCCTGTGATAAAGTGCAGGAACAATGACACGCTGAGAGGTTCTCCTCGTCTCAAACATCTTTGTCAGACGCTGAGAAGCTAATTTGGCTCCTCTTAGTTCGGTTTAACCTCCACAAATGTGATTAAAACAAGCTTTTGTGGAAAACTTTCTACTTTCTTGCCACATCTGTTCAGCAAATATGATGCTTCTGCATTAGCTTAGCTTAGCATGAACACTGGAATAAAGGAGCAACAGTTAGCTTAGCATTGAGAACACAACCCATCTGCCAGCGCTCCTCAAGCTCAATAATTTTGTTTGTTTGATGCATAAAATCAGTGAATGCATTCATGCACATTTGCATTTTCATTAAAAAATGTACATTTGGATTCAAAATGTAAAACAACCTCCAAAGCAAACGTGTCGTTAAAGGAGAACTTTTCAACATTTGTCCCTTGGTGCTGATTGGCTGTTACTCAGGACATATAACCAATCAGATCGTGCTGTGGGCGGGACTTTGCTTTACCGAAATCGTGGTATATATATATTCTAAAATATTACTTATTTTAGTTTTAAAATGTAAGAAATAAGCATAAAAATGGTGAATTTCAGATCCAATAAGGTTTGGACTGTTGGTTGGACAAAACAACAATCGTCTTTTTTTTTTTAAACAGTTGAAAACACAACAGAAAGATTCTTTAAACCTCCATGTGAAGCTTTATTCTGGTGGTTGGAGTCATCACACAGATGCTGCTGATGCTTCCTCATGTTGAATACACTGCCATCAGTCCCTTCAGACTCTCCTAATCCTTGCTTTGAACTCCAGGTTTCTTTTGTATCTGGAGCAGTGGAGACTGTTCTTGGACACTTCTCGGGTTTTCCTCTGCAGACTGTGTTCCTGTCACTGCGGCTGCTCCTTTATTCAGCTCTGGCAAACCTGTAATTACAGGTTGACATGAAATGCGTTGCTACTGGAGTTAAAACTCTGGTTTACTGTCTAATACGGGAGCTTTAGGTGGAGCTGAGAGACTCCATCAGCATTGTGTGAACTTGTCCGGCTTGAACAGAACAGACTGAATCTAACAGTCCTGCTCACCAGCTTTGATATTGAAAATAATCATTACTTGCTGCTTTAGTGAGGTTATGACGTGTCCATGTACTAAGCTGCTTCTTTTCTTGGATGTACCGTGTTCGGTGGTGAGTTTCTCAGGTTGAAAGATGAGCTGTTGTTTTCATCCAAAGCTAAGCTAAGCTAACCGGCTGCAGCAGGACAATCATGAGACTGGTCTGTGGTAATGACTGATTGTAAAGTCTGATTTCTGCTGCTGAACAGTCCGTCTGACCTGCTGCCTCCGTCCTCCCTGTCTGTCCAGGAGCAAGGTGTGGTGGGAATGTCACGACCTCCCGGCGCCATCCCACCTCCTCACCCGGCCGGGGGCGTCGCCTCCGGCGTGGGCCCCAACCAGGGGTCAGGTCCACCTCCGGGCTATGTGGGCAACCAGCAGCAGGCGGCCATGATGAAGCAGATGATGGCGATGGAGCAGGAGAAGAGGGTGCAGATGCACATGATGGAGCAGCAGAAGCAGCAGCTCTTCAGAGAGCAGCGGCAGCAGCAGCAGCAGCAGCAGCTCCTGGCTGAACAGGTGAGTTTATGCTCGAGGCGTTTTGCTCGCAGCATACGGTGAGCGTCGGTGTGGTGATTAAAAAGGAGGAAGGAAGACCTGTGTGATTCATCTGTCACGCATTAAATTATAATTTGTGTATGTGCGCCTTGTTTGTTCATGCATTCATGTATATTTGTCAGCGGCTGCAGCTCTAACAAGAGCAGCTCATCCTCTCGTCTTCTTTCTGTTGTCTGGTTGCATGTATAATTACCCTCAACCAGCCCCCTCTTCACTACTTCCTTTTCATCTCTGCAGTGTGTGTGTGTGTGTGCATGTGTATGTGTGTGTTTTTGCCACATGCCGCCTGCTGTGATAATGTGGTGTTTTCTTTTTATTTCTCTCTCTGTGAGAGAATCAAGTGTTAAAGAGTTCTGAACTCTGAAGTCACCACCCACTATGTTGGTTTTAATTGGATCTGCAAAAACATACACAGACACACAAGTATAGGTGTGTGAGAGGAAACCCGTCCTGCTGGGGTTTAGTGTGTGTGGTTAACCAGATATCATGCTTTCATTTAAATGAGCAACCTGTCCAGGCCCATGTTCAGGAGCTGCTTTAATGCTGCAAGGAGCCAGATTTCCTGCTAATAACCAAACAGTTTGAGCTTCCCATTAAATTCTTCATGCCTTCAGTACAACTGTTGCCGTGACACAGAATCATCGCCGCCTCAGGTTTCATATTAAAACAACAATAACAAACTTTATTTGCTTCTTTACTGCACTTTTCAGAATCACAGACATAAAAACAAAAACTACATCATGAAATCAGGAGATAAATAAAAACAGATCAAAGTGTCATAAAAACTGCTCAGTTATGAGGCTGTTTGTGAACAATAA